CAAGAAGAGAGGGACACAACCTAGAACAGATAATGGATGTCTATTCTATTAACATTTCTCGCCTTCTCAGTTCAGAGGGCCCAAAATTTCCTCAATGCTGAGCAGGAGCTCTAACCTGTGCTCGTCCGTCTGCCACCAGATCCACCAAGATCCTTTTGATTGTTTTAAAATGCTTAAATGGCTCCTTTATAACCCACTTGTTTGCACAGGCTTTCTTTTTTTTTTATTAAAGATTATTGTTCTTTCAATATAGTTTATTGTTTTCCTTGCTTTTATATGTTTGCTGTGAAGCAGTCTGGGTAGCAGTGTTGTTGTGAATGTGATATATAAATAAAGTTGACCCTGAGGACCAGCATAAGCAGCTAGAGAGATAACATCTCAGAGTCCAGCAGAAGGTCCACTTTAATGGTTCTGATCCAATAACTGACCGGGATGGATCAGAATCTGGACCCAGGATGTCGCAGCGGCTGGTTCTGGTTCTGATCCAAACAGGGTGAAACATGAGCATCAGCAGCCTGTTGGAGCTGCTTGGTCCAGATGGTTCTAATTAGCAGCTCACTGAACCAGGAACAAAGAACCCTGATTAGATCGTTCTGGGAAATCATCTCCCCCGCTGAGTTCCTGGCAGTGAAACCAGTTCAGACTGGGCCCAGTCAGCATGATGTGGACTGGTTTCTGCAGAACTCCCTGAGATCACCGCTCTGAGATCAGATCAGGGGATTCCCTGCACAGAACTTTCACTTTCTGAGGTTTGGGATGAGCAACGTTCCTGTGGTTCTGAGGACCCAAAGGTTCCCGCTCTGTGGGCTGAGAAGGGGGTCCGGTTCCTGATGGACAGCAGGAGAACATCTGCAGAACTTTAATCTGAAGGATCAGTTCTGGGCGGTTCTGAGGATCCACAGTCTGGTTCTGCTTTTAGACGGCTCCAGTCTGACCCACAGTGACCCTCTGAAGCTGAACAACAGCAGCATTGATCCAATCAGACCGCCTCGGTCTCACAGAACACAGCCGGGTCTGTTCTCAGTCTCACCAGAACGGACCGGTTCAGAGGGCAGCTGGTCCCGAGTCAGAGCTGAAAGAGGGGTCCAAATGATGAGGGGCCTCTAGGTTCTGAACACCACTGACCCAAAACAGCCACTAGAACTGAACCTGAAGGTTCTGCTGTGAAATAGGCCAGTAGTTCTTGGACCGAGGGTGAGGAACCTGTTAGGCCCAGAATTATTCCCACACCCATCGCCTTTAGAGTCCAAATATTTCCATAGAATCAAGAAGTCAGATCAGCTCGGTTCTGAGGCGCCCTCTCCTGGTGGAGGTCGGGTATAGAACCTTCCATGGTTCTCCCCCATCCTGCTGGTTCTGCTGCTGATAAACAGGCTTCTGTAAAACCAGAGGACATCCTGAGGAGGTGAGGCTGGATCAGAACCATGAGGGACAGCAGAGCTCCCAGGACGGGGACGAACCGGGCCAAGTTCTGATGTGGTTCTGGTTCCTCCTGTTGGAAAGTTCTGGGCCTATTGTAAAGTTCAATATGGAAGTTATGTCCCCTAAAAAGCTGTTGTGCCTCAGGGCTTCCTCACGGTTCTTTTCCTGGGAGCAAGTCATTTACTACTCTTAACTCAAACTCGGTAAAACCATAAAAAAGATTAAAAAAGGACAATAAAAACAGGAGTAAAAAGTAACAGAGTTTATTCCAGATCAGGTCGTTACAGGACAGAGAAAATGCTTAGAGCTTGCACAGCTGTGAGCTCAAAAATCACGTCCTCAAGCGTCCAGCAAAGATTGAGCCCCGAACAAGGTCATCTCCTCCTTCTTATAGCTCATGAGTCTATGTGTTGCATCAGGTGGATGCTTAGCTGTCCGTATCAGAAACTGACACTCCATCAATGCCCTGACCTTCATGCATCTTGTCTCTATGCTTCAGGATTACAGATAGCTCTCCTCTATCTGTCCGGCTCCAAGATGTTTCCATATCCTGTGTGTTTCTAAAGACAGGAAGGCTGTCCTGATTAGATGACCTCCGTACACACTGTGACATCCACAACGTGAAGGAAGGCCTTCTGCTCTGTCTAATCTGACTAACAAAATACCAATGCACATGATGTATAAAGAATAAAACCAAACAACTCCCCCTGATAAGTTACCGTTTTTACAGGTAACTTGAAACACAGAAAGCGGCACATCTTTGAAGGACCAGGCGACTCAGAGAGCCTCTATAATTGATGATCTATCATTAATCAGAGATCAAAGTAATCACAATCAAAGCTTCACAGACCAAATGTTCTCACTTAAGACCACAGTTTCAGCATTTACCTACAATTTGGGTGTCAACTAATTAAAGGAAAGCTGTTTTAGTTTCCTATGCGCACATTATTTTAATTTACCTTAGCCTAGGTAACCTAAGCCTATAAATCTAATAAGGCCAAATTCATCTACTCTCACTCCCACCTGGAGGCCTCCTAAATGTGACCGCTCCTCATGGATAAACCATCTATTCATCTTTAGCAATCATTCAGTCACAGTAGGGGACGTCACAGGACAGGTTGGGCCGTTCTCCACCAGAAAACGCTACCCTCTCTAAAAGGTAGTAAAACCGCAGGAAATCCACCTCTATGCCAATCTGAGCAAGAAACCCTGTTTTAATCTGACAATTGAATAGTAATGGATTCATCATCAGTCTGGTTCTGAAACTCTGATTTTTTTTTTGTGAACGAGCAGAACTGCTGTTCAGTAGCATGGTACCAGACCCGGTTCTATCCATGGGTCACTGTGAGCTTCCAGGGGATGATGGTTCCCTTTAGGAACCCAGAGGTTCTCCATGATCTCCTGGTCCTGGATATCAGAACCAGACATAGACCAAATAGAGATGAACACTTTAATAAAATGAGGAACCATTTGGGGTCCAGATGGGCCACCATTAGAATCTGATCTTTACCTCCTTCACTAGTTTATTTTTTTTCTAAGTAGAACCCCCAGAAGGAGGCTAAAGGTTCTGGATTCAGCATGTGACTGTTTTTGGACCAGGAGGTTCTGCCAGGAATCACTGCTCCATTTTTAAGGTCCAAGACCAAAGTTCCCCACTAGATCCTCCACTTCTAGATGGTTTTCTAGATGTTCTCCAACCACAGCCCTCATCATGAAGACCAGATGGACTTCAGATCCAACAGAACCGTAGCCCTCACATTCTGTTAAGGTTCTGACAGAACCATCTCACCAGTCCACCCAGTTTCAGCAGCAGCTCACTGGTACCGACGGACCCGGTTTACATGAATAAAGAAGAAGAGACGGGTTTCAGACTGAACAACTTTATTCACACGCTGCACGCTGAGGAAGAAGAGGATGAAGGGTTAACATGGTCCAGTCGGAATCAGAAGAAAGAACCGGAACAGTCCGGTTAGAACCCGACAGGACCGGGACAGAACAAAGAACACAGCAGAAAACGAGTCTGATGGTTCTGGAACTGGATCCTGTTGGCCTGAGTTTCACTGGACCCACCACTGGATCGCTCCTAACCCTTTGGTCAAAGCTGGTCTCCATGGAAACCCACAAACTGTAGAACTTTGGTTCTAGAGTTTTGATCAGGTCCAAAGTTTTACTTCAAGAATTTCAGGTTTTGGTCTGGAACCAACATTAAACCACAATAAGGATTAGTTGGAAACCAGAACTGAAAATGGGCCAGAAGAGCTGATCTGGACCGGTTCTGATCAAAGGAGTAAGAAAGGGGGCGGAGCCAGAAGAATGTTGGTGGCAGAGCAACGATAATCGTTAGGGGTTACGGGTCTAGAAGCAGACAGCAGGAAAAGCAGCATCAGGTCAGGAAATCAGTCGAAGCTCCAAGGAAAAGTTTCTGTTCGATTCTGGAAAACTGGGAAGTTTTTTTAAACTTTACTGAAATGTTTTTCAGGAACAACTTGGATCGTTTCCTCTTCAAATCTGACAGACGGATTTAACCTTTAAATTCTTGGCAGCTCTCTGATGTTCAGTATGCTCAACAGGAACCGTCTGGTCCAACTGGCTCCCGGTCTGGGCTCCAGGACTGGGAACCAGTGGACGGGTAACATCTGTTCCAGTAAACTTCAAGGCATTCAGTCAGGAAACATGTAAACATGACGACATTTTGCAAACAGGTGATAAACCGGGTCTCTGAGGCGGGTCACGTCTCTAAGTTCCCCGCTGACATCAGATAGAGGTGGTTCTGATCCCAGCTGGAAAACCGCAGAACTCTCCTGAGGCAAACAGAGAGAAACAGGACCTGAACCTGGGAAAATGTTTAAACACTCAGCAGGACGTTCTGGTCTCATTGTTCCTGATCAGAACCTGCTGCAAACATCAGTTTTATCACTGGGTCCCTCATAGGAATTAAAAGGAAAACTGGAAAACCTTTGGGTTTTTTGTTCTGACTCGTTTGTTCTGGTTCCAGCAGAACTTTTCCTGCTCATTAAGACACTCTGGTGTGAGTCCAACAGCTGAGAGTTTTATTCTGGTTCAGCTGGAAGGTTTGCCGCTGGTTCTGGTTCTGAGAGGCAACGGATGGTTTGAACGGAGGAAGGGGACAGCGGTTGGACGAGGCGGTTCTGTCGGATCACCAGTAGAAGGAGCGGGACAGGAAGTTGGCGGCGGCTCCGAGCCAGCTGGTTCCCTCTTGGCCCGTTCCCATCCGGCTAACTGCCTTGTCGGGTTCTGGAGACGGACTCTCCTCCTCCGGGAGGTACTCTGGCAGGTCCATGTTCTGCTCCACCTGCACAGAACTGCCCTCAGGGAAGTGGATCAGAACCTGGAGACAAAAATAGATCAACTAGGATTAAAGCTGGACCCGATTCTGTTCAGCCCCACTGCCCTCACAGAGGGCAGAGGTCCACATTCCCTGTTCTGTTACCATTGATTACTAATGCTGCTTCCTGATCCACGTTCTGATAGAACCAGCTGTCAGGTCCAAACAGGAACAGTTTCATTTCTAAAGACTTCAAGTTAGTCAGGACATATCAAGGAAACGAGTTTCATCGAGTCACCCAGAGAAAGTTTCTAACAGAACCCAGATGGATCCAGCCATCAACCAGTAGCATTCCCCCCACTGGTCCACAAACGGGCCCAGTTAAACCACTCAGAACTAAATGCTTAACCAGAGTCCGATGGAGGAGCGTTTTCCCAGGATATTTAAAATCTCAGATGAGAACAATCATCAACTGGTCCCAAATCTTTGGCCCTAAATAACCGACTGGTTCTTATTTCAGCAGTCTGCTTTCAGGCTGTATGAAGCCTTATAGTCTCCATAATCCAGGAACGTCAACAGATCAAAGAACCAGAATAGTCTGAACAGGAAGCCCAGCCTATCAGGTCAGCCGTCAGCATGGCTCTGCTGCCCCCTGCTGGTCTTTAATATAACAACATCTCAGTAGCTCAGGTTTAATGGAGGAATAATGAGACAGACCTGGTCTCTAATCACAACTGGAATCAGTTTTCTCAAACATTATAGAACTAAGACTGGACTTCAGTTTATCTATAAAAGCATCTATTAAAGATCTGGTCTTATCCTGAAACAGCTCTGAACCCAACCAGAGAAGGAGCCTTTTTTGAATTTTACATTCAAAATCTAATTTAAGGTTGTTTTTCTTTTTTCCTGCTTTGGTTTCATGATAACAAAAACTTAGCTTAGCTTTGTAAAGCTAAGTTTTATTGTAAACATCTGTTCAGGGAGATGACCTGAATTTAAAGTGCGACTCAATCTTTGACGTGAAGCTGCTTCTAAAACATGTTAGATTTGTTTCTTTATTATTCAATCAAAAAGAAAAATATTTTCAATCAAAAAATAACTTTATAATCAAAGCTAAAAAAGTGTTTGAAGGCAAAAATATAACTGAGAAAAAGAAAAACACATTTGAACACTTTCTTTGAAAATGTTTTTCTTTGGATAGAAGTGAAGATTTTTAGTTTGAAGCAACTTGTTGATTGAAGTCATGTTTTCTTTTTATTTGGATCACATAATGGGTAGGATATTTATTATTCAATCACAGAATAAATCTCTTTAAATCCATTAAAAAATCCTTCTATGACAATAAAGTTTCTCGATCATAGAAAAATGTTTTTCAACGTTACTTCAGTTTAAAGGTTGCTTCAAACAAGAAATCTTCACCTGTATCAAAGAAAGTCAATGTTCAATTGTGTTTTATTGTTAAATAAATACTGATTTTTCAAAAATTAAATATCTGAAAACAGAAAATTTGATAAATTGATTAAATAGATTTTTGCCCTGTCAGCTTCTTCCAAACACGAGGAAGTAGCACCGTCTAAAGGGGCATCAATTGTTGATAGGGTAGAATTTAAATCGCTGCCCTCTGCTGGTGGTTCTGAGGTAGAGCGGGCATTAAATATGGAAGAGCATCTTTAAAAGATGTAACACGTTTGTCTGATAATGATCTACTGTAATGAAAACGTATCCTTGGTTGGAGGGCTCTGTTAGATTAAACTCAGAGGTTATTAAAAAATTATTAGAAAGGACAGAGTTATGAGAGGCCATCAGGACATGGTCCAGATCATGATGACCAGGGCGAGTAGGTCAACATACATTTTGATAAGCACCCACTGGTACGAAAGAAATAGGAAATAGTAATTTATCAGGTGACCTGACCTCTTCCCCGTTCTCCGCCTTCACCACCTGCTGAGCAGTCATGACCTCAGTGGCGGCGATGGCAGACGCCAGCGCCTGAAACATCAAGAGATACACATCGTCAGGGGACCCTTTCACATTGGGACCAATAAGGTAAAAAAAACAAGAACCAGAAGCCAAAAAATCAAGCTATATTGTATCTATTGATGCACATAAATGACATCGTCAGACATTTTAGTTTACAAGGTAGAAAAATGTATTTCACAAAAATACTGTGATTTTCAGGCACAGAGTAAATATGCCTGGCATTAGGACCCAGAGGAACCATCCCCTGCTCATTTGGAGCAACATGGGAGGAAAATCTGGTTTTGTTTCTGTTTTTAATGTAATTTCCATTTATTCTGAGGATTTAATTTCTCTAGTCATTTACTGTAAAGCCTGATTCCTTTATGGAGAAACCTTGGTCAGACCGGACTGTATAGAACCCGCCTCACCTCGGCCTTGAGGTCGGACCGGATCCGGACAATGCATCTCTTCACAGCCATCTGGAAGGTGAAACTTATGACTCCACGGATCTTCAGCAGGGCCTCCTCACAGAGACTCCGCCGACCCTGCAGAGAGGCAGAGCGTCAGAAACCGGCAGCTTTCTCACCAGCATTTATCTCTGAAGGTTCTGGAACCGACTGGGTCATCCAGGCCGTCAATCTGCAAGATCACCGTCTTGGCTTTCTTGTTGCTGGAGCCCAAGAAGAACTGAGCTTTTCTTCGGCCACTAACAGGCGCCGCCGCGGCCTCCGTGCTGCCCGCCGCCTGCAGGAGCTCATAGATCTCTGAGGCCAGCAGTTTGGTCTCTCCTGGAGTGGTGGACCTGCAGTAAGGTTCAGATTCATTAGACCTGAACCCACCGGGTCCAACAGTTGGATCAGACCTTAATCGGCCTTAATAGAGCTGATGTCGAATTCTAACACTAAATATGATAACAGACATTAATAGCGGCATATGGCTGAGAGCAGGGATCCTCTCAGCTAGACTGGACCTCTCAGGTTCTACAGTAGAAGCTCCGTCCTTCATGTCAGACTAAATAATCTCAACATCTGGGATCTGTCACTCACTTCTGCATAATGTTCTGCAGGCTCAGCATCATTCCAAGCTCTGTCTTCAGCTTCTCCCTGTTGGGTCCACATTCTGCAAGATATCGAATCGCCTGGAGACACAGAGAGAAGCAATCCATCAGATCCTATAATACTCTGGACCACTCAGGCTTCCTTAGATCATATATAGCTGTGGGTGAAACTGATCCTCCTGCTGCAGGTATGGACACCATCCACACAGCTCAGACTGATTGGAAAGTGACTGGCCAATCAGAGAAGAGATTCTCTGGTTCTGTTTAGAGTTCTCAGGATACTGAGATCCGAACAGCACATCTAGTTCTACAAGGAGTAAAACTCTACAACCAAAAATATTGGATGAATAGAAGTTGTTTTCAGGAAGCCATAAATAATGAGAGTCAGTCTGAGCTGGATCAGAACCGCCGAGCTGATTAATCACGTCTAAAGTCCTCCATCCTGCTGGCTGCTGTGTTTTAGGCCGACCTAAAAGCCACGAGCTTCTGGTGTTTAGAGATCATTCAGGTAAAGCTGCAGTTTAAGCTGTTATTGGGAACTAGCAAAGTCAGTCACCATAACGTTGGTAATACCTGTTACTATGACAACCTGAGAAATGCTAACAGATCTTTTTAACTTTGACCTGAGGAGATGCTAGCTCAGCTTGTAGTTAAGAGATTACGATAAGATAGGGATGGACAGAGAAGAAGGACTGATGTGAGAGTGAAGCACAAAGGAATAGATAGATAGATAGATAGATAGATAGATAGATAGATAGATGTTGCAGTATCTATAACAACCCAAACACACAGGATTTCAGAATTAGACATCCCCAGTTATTAAAGGAATAGTACACCCAAAACATGATTAGCCTTCATTTTCTACTCACCCCCATGCTGAACAACACTCTGGAGTACTTTTTTGA